GAAAACTACTTTATTTTTATTTATCTTTGTAAGGCATATGACACTTTTAAGGTTGGAAGATGCCATTTCCTATCGTTTGCAGGAACAGCTTTTCATACCTGAGTTAGGACTACAAGAACCCCGATATAATGCAGAGACCAGCCAGTCATATAGCTAAAAAATCATGATAGCTTTCTTATTAAGGCTCCATTAGAGGTAACTGGAAACCCCATCTTAAACAGGAAATATGGAAAAATCTCAATTCCTGTTAAAAAACGGAGGAAGAGTGTGAAGCGGGCGATAGGCGAAACTATCTACTCCTATTGAGAAAAAAACAAACAGTAAATAAAATCTCGGTGGAGGATTTAGAAGTATAAAGTTAGAGTACTTGAGATTAGTGTGCATGAACTTAGGTCAGGTTAGTTAATTATTTAGCTACCATTCCCTATTAAGTTCTAACTTAATAGATTTCTTTTTTTTTTAAGCATTTCACTTCAACCAGGGCGGAATTGCCACTAGCACGCAAGGGGTTACAGAGGGTAGAGAACAAGAGTAATGAGGCATATTTGGGGAGGGAATAAAAAGAAAGGCGGGGAACAAGATCAAGGTGTCAGATGTCGATAAAAATTACACTTGAATATTTGACGAATGAAAGAGGAAGACAATTGCACAGACGGGAAATGTGAGACAAGAAGCTGTTTGAGTAGAAAAGACGGTTACATTTAACCGTTTCGACAGTGAAAGGGTGGGAACGAGATACCAACCTAGTAGCTCGCTTAAACTCATGCAGTCTGGGAACGTGAGTAAGCAACACGTCGGAACAGTTGCCGTGAAAATAGGAGACAGAAGGAAACCACGGCAAGTCTGTGAGAAAGCGACTGTAGACTAGATGCCAGATCAGAACCAATCATTGTATATCCGTCTCTGGATTTTGTCGAGGACCTCGAGAATTACAACGGGAGCACCAGACCATATATGGCAGGAATATGGCATACAAGGATAATTGCAAATATGCATTAATTCCGATAAAATGATTAAATAAGAAGCAAAAACCATTATATATGTTCCCAATTTATTATAGCTTCAGCGAACATGTTTCAGTAGTTTGAATTCTGTGTTGGTTGTTTTCATTGGTCGGTTTAATGTCACCAGTTCATATTTTTAGCATTAGTACTTATGCATGTCTCAATTCAAGTAGGATATCTGAGTTTATATTGTGATGGCTCTGTGTGTTACTGAAACGTCACAGTAATAGAGGTGTATGTTGTTATATGAAATAGGTAGTTTAGTGTATGTATGCATGTCGGAAGTCGAATGTACAATATTAGCATAAAATCCATCTGCAAATATAATCTTCTTCAGTTTTTTTCTTTTAAATTTCTATGTTTTATTTTAATCTTTTTATTGCTTTTTGTAATTGTCTGGTATTTGATGAATTTCTTTGTTTGACCTTGTATTGACAGCAATATTCCATGCAAGGACGGATGGTTGATTTATAAATTTGGAGGATAATCTCAGACGAGAAAAACTTTCTGGCACGACACAGAGAACCAAATTTCCTTGCAGTGGATGAAGCTATTGAATCTATGTATTTGTTCCATCTCAGATCAGCGGAAAGATTGAGACCAAGCAGGCGCAACGAGGCTCTCTCACGGAGTTGGGCATCATCCATTCTCATAGGAGACAGAGATGGGTCTCTGTAGTGGCTAAATGAGAGTAGTTTCGTTTTGGAGGCATTGAAGTTTACAAGCCATTTCCTGCCCCAGTCAACCACAGATTGCGAGTCCTTTTCGAGACCCGCGGCAAAGTTAGTTTTGTCATCGATACAAGGTTTACCACCGAGGTAGGAGTAAATAGTTGTGTCGTCCTCGTAGATGCCTACTTGTGAATTGATGACATCGGGAAGGTCATTAATGAAGATCAAGAACAGTGTAGGACCCAAAGACAGAGACTTGGGGGAACACCGGCGTTCGTGATAAAGGAGCTGGACGATAACCCGTTTAGGACGACCTTTGTTTCACGGTTTGACAGGAATGATTGTATTAAGTCATATAATCGTCGTGTAAAGCTGTTTCCCTGAAGCTTACGAAGAAAGTCGGCATGCAAAACCCCATCAAATGTTTAGAGATGTCTAGAGTCACGGCTCGAGCTTCGGTATTGTGAGGTGCTTGGTATACAAATTCAGTTATGGCCGTGAGCACGTCAGCAATAGATCGGGCAAAGCGGAAACCATATTGCTTGTTGAGAGCAGATTATGGGAAGTAAGGTGCTTAACGACTTCGGCGTTGATTAAAGGCTCGAAGACTTTACCGAAGAGTTGTAAGAAATTGTTAGGACTGTAGTTAGATGGTTAAGAAGGGTCTCCAGAGTTCTTAAAGAGAGGCACAACAGAGGAGGACTTCCAACAGGCTTGAAGAGGAGAGGAGCCAGTTCTGGAGCACATTTCTTCAGGACAATGACCGGTATCCTGTTCCCACCACTAGCCTTATGGGAGTCTAATTTAGAGAGGAAATCCGATACCATCGTTGGGGTTATGTGCATCACACTCAGTAGGGACTCATTTCTGTGGGGAGAAATGAGATACACCAGATGAATCTATCGTTGAAATGGATGAGAATTTCCGAGCAAAGCATTCAGCCTTGTCAGTTGAGGAAGTCAGGACTTCAAATTGGTTGAATAATGGTGGTATTGTGGGTTTTCTGTTGTTCAGCACGCTCTTGCAGAGCCATTAATAATCTTTAGATGCAAACTTGTGAGAAGCAATACGTTGTTTCATTTTTTTCGGCAAAGAGTAACTTTGCTTCATTGAGGAAACGGTTGCACTCCTTACGAGTAGTGACAAAGAGACGCCTGTTGCAATCCAACCTGTCACTACGGTACAGATGGAAGTAATGATTGCTGTGGGCAAGAGTAGCTGAGCAAGCAGTTGAGAACGAAGAGGAGGAAGGCGATTTCACTTCATATTTTCTTGCGGGAATGAAAGCCTCGATTCCAGCTTTTACTGAGGATGAGACCTCAGATACGCTTTTTTGGAAGATTAAAAACAATATTTCAGGGGAACGAGTCCCAGTCTTCTTGTTGATAACAGTAAGACGTTCTGTTGGTAGGAGGTTCTTTACTGGAAGTTTTAACTTAGTATAAGTTGCATTATCTCATAACTTAGTATAAGTTGCATTTTCTCATTAATTGAAAACATGGAAACACGTACCTACGTGTAGAGAAGCGTTCTAGTTTGTCAAATCTTTTGGTAAGTTGGCGTCATTTAAGAAGACGAATTATCTTTCAGATTTCATACCTAACTCTCCCCTGTCCCTGGTCGAGTGAGTTGTGGTGGGGTGGGAGGTCAAACAAGTTAGAGAAAGAAAAATAGTGTATATGCTCTTGTTCACATACAGGCTGATCGACAGTTTTCAAATTATCCTTCAATATAGAAATTTAAAATACGAAATACATATGGAGAATTCCACACTTTATTAGATTCTAGACAATACCAAATTGATCAGTCCCAAGTTATTGTACTCAGTAAGTAAAATGAATTCTAATATATGACTAGTAACTGTAACGCAAACACGTCTATGGGTGATAATCTGATATTTAGCCAGATGTCAACTTCTACTGACAACGCGCGCGCACAAACAAACACAGATATATGTAGCGATTTACTAAGCGTAGCTTAGTTGCGGCACAAAGCAGAAAGTTTAGGGCAACTGATGAGGATCGAGCTTTCTATTCAGTCATAATTAATCTAGCGAGAACAGCTTGCTAACCATTACGTCGAAGTGTGCAAATGATTTTCTAAGCGTAGCTTTTATAGGGTACAAGGCCGAATGTATGGAGAACTCAGGGAGGATTGAACTCCCTAAATGATTTTCAAAGAGTAGCTTAGATGTAGTACAAAGCCGAATGTGGAGCACCCAATGAGGATCGAACTCACTATTAAGTCATACCAAGCCAAACTTGTTAACCATTACATATATATATATATATATATATATATATATATATATATATATATATATATATATATATATAGAGAGAGAGAGAGAGAGAGAGAGAGAGAGAGAGGAGACCATTTTAAGGTTCCATTATAATAATTTATTTCACCAGAGTCCTTTTAAAGGACTCCGGATCATCAGATAGCACTTCCAAAATATATATATATATATAGAGAGAGAGAGAGCACTTCATATATATATATATATATATATATATATGCAACACCATGCAGCGCAGTCTGTTTCATTTGAAGAAACAGATTGTCAACGCTTGCTGTTGACAACAGTGTCCACTTTTATATTTACATACGCTCCATCTTTGATATTGAACACTTTCACCAATAAATATACAATAATTTAAGTATATATATATATATATACGCAAACAACGATAGAAAAAACAATGAAGGAAAAATCACACACTTATTTTTAACTATTCTTAAACACACTTATAAATTCATATTCATATCATCTATTATATCTATATGCATACATACAGAAATAAGTATCCACAAACATATATTTTAATAAACACATGCAAATAAGCACAGATACGCCCCCGCACACACACACACACACACACACACACATATATATATATATATATATATATATATATATATATATATATAGTTTGTTTTCTCTGTCTCTGACGAAGCTTTAATAAAAGTGAGACATGTTAGATTGATGTACTTTTTATTTTTGTTTTTTAATTTAATACATACATACTTATATATATATATATATATATATATATATATATATATATGGTCGATAGCCCAATATTTAGTCAGATGTCGGCTTCTATTGACAAATCGTGAATATTCAACAAATTGATTTTGTTTTCAAACATCTTCAATGACAGCCGTCTTTTATTAGTGCAAAATAAATCGGGCGTCTTAATATTCAAACCAGACAAATTTGGAGTGTTGTCTTTTTTTTTTGCTATAGACGTCAACTTAAATCAGCGACAAATATTGAAGCCCGACAACAAGATAAACAAAAAGCTATTTTACACGATTCAAAATGAGCGCCGATAACACTCAGAAGAACAAGGACAGAACTCCAAGACATGTCGCTCCATATCAGTAAGATTGAACCGTGATGTTTTGCCAAAGTTTTTTGTTGTCTGCTTTCTTGGTCCTTTCTTGCTTTGATTGCATGCAAATTCCTTTAAAATGAAGATGCCTTGAAGGCATTTAATAATATCTAATCCACTTCGATCGCAGTTTATCGGCTATGACATTTTCCAGCATGGAACAGAGATAGTCCAACATTAGTTTATTGGTCTCGAGAAGGTTGTTGAAACTGACGTTGCTACGCAACCGACTCCATTATTAAAGAATGATAGTGGTCGCCAAATAGCTTTTTGAGTCACATATATCGTGACAATGTAACATTATCCTTCTCTACAATAATGAAACCGGTTTATCGATCCCAATAGACAGGACAAGCTGGAGAAGACGACAAAGATAGTATTAAAAAATCATTCCCTGTTTCGACGTAACATATTAATAAACCAAATGTCACTTGGAATAAACTGACTGCAGCACAAACATATTCGTTATAACAGAACGGTTGTATTTAATAAGATATTAAATGATATTTCTCTGTTGGGGGATTTGTCAGATAGAGAAGTGAAGATTATTACGAGAAGGAGGATAGGTAGGGATTAACACTTGATCTGAATAGATTAAGATTGTAGGGTTCAAGGAATCATTCAGACGGGAGTTTGTTTCATAGAGTAGTTTTTCTCAGGAAAAGCTGTCTGAGTGGAACTTCCTCCTTACAAAAGGAATAAGAGGGAGATTCGAATCACTGAACGTGGAATGGCGCGTCCTGTAAAGTTCTGGTTGAACTAAAGAGTGGAGATCATCTGAATATTTGTCATGGGAATAGCGAGAGAGACCGGTTAGTAACGTTGCATCAGTGGATAGAATGGAAAAGAAGCAATTTCTTACAAGACCGCTTAAACAATTTTGAACTCAATAAAGGCTGGTAAGTGAGGATTGGATGGCTACATTATCTTATTTTTGGTCGAATCGGGATCTTCTAGAGATTAAACATTGCAGAAGGAGTCAGGTACGTTTTGGAACGGTACATGGAGCCGACTACTTTTTTTAATTGTGATATTTACAAATAGTTGATTACACTTCCAAATATTCCGAGATGAAGTTAAATGTTTAATTACTTGCGATTTGTGATAGTTTTGAGTGATATATCAGAGTGTAATTACATTCAAATCGAGATTGTGTCGCTATTAAAAGCCGTAACTCAGCAATTTGGTAATCATGCCGATCCATCTTTATATAATTGCTTTTAATTTCATGCGTTGTAGGCCGTAGAGTTCGGCGATCTAGGGCCATTGTAGTTCAATTTCTCACTGAAAGTCAAAAAGCCATCTTTTCACAAGTCGAAATGATTCTCTTGTATGAATAAATGGCACGACGCAACGGGGTTTATGGTTTCGGCAAATTTATTCTCTCCAATAAGCAAATATTGCCAACTACTTGTCAGTGACGGAGAGGGTACAGTTTGTAAGAGAATTTCTCTACCTCCATCTACACTCTACAAAGCCAAAATCCGCACTGAAGAATCTTGGAAGGAGGAACTCTCGCCTTCTCGTTAATTGCCGATTCGTCAGTTTACAGGCCAATGAAAAAAAACATTCAGCTACTTTTCTTTTTTTCTTGCGGGACCGGTAGCTGTTCCTGTCAAATATATCGTATTTCAGAAATACAATATATTCCCAATAACAGTTTACAGCTTATTAGTTAGGAGATTTTTCTTCTTAATACTTAAACTTAAAATTACTCTTTTACTCTACACTGACAATGTTTAAAAGTACTCAGGTTTTTTCACGTCAAGCAAATAATATTTTCTCCTACAATATGTTTTCAATTAAAAGTAATTTAAAGTATATAATGAGTCAGTCCATTACTGGCATCTACCTTAAAATTTGTCGCCTTTTCCATCGTTGTGTTTCTCGTTGAGACATCGAAGTGATAAGTTTCGTCCATCTTCCTTGACTGTGTTGTTATGTGATTAAAGCTTCATCACTCTGTCATTTGTGAAGATTTTTTGTCCTCGTGTTGGGTTCACGCCATTTTCTAATCAATTCATCAGTCACATTTCAACCGCAAACATCAAACCGCTCATGTCAGCTATCGCGTAATTAGTTGTAAAATATCATGGTCAAGTAGTTATAAATTTCTTTCTTTCTTCCTTCCTTACTTTCTTTCTTTTTTCTTTCTTTCTTTCTTCACCAGCATTATTTATCGTTTTCATAGTCACTGCTTTCTTTCTTTTTTTCTTTCTTTGTTTCTTTATTTGTTTCTTTCTTTCACCATCATTATTGCTTATTTTCAAAATCTCTGCTTTCTTTCTCTCTTTCTTTTTTTCTATTTTTCTTTCTTCAGCATAATTGCTGTTTTCTTAGCGCCTGCTTTCTTTCTTTCTTTATTTATTTCTTCACCAGCACTATTGCTTGTTTTCATAGTATCTGCTGTCTTTTTTTCCTTCTCGTTCTTTCTTTCTTTTTTCTTTCTTTCTTTATTTCTTCACCAGCACTATTGCTTGTTTTCATAGTATCTGCTGTCTTTTTTCCCCCTCGTTCGTTCTTTCTTTCTTTCTTTCTTTCTTTCTTTACTAGCATTATTGTTTATTTTTATAATCACTGCTTTCTTTCCCTTTTCACTTTTTTCTTTCTTCAGCATTATCGCTTGTTTCTCTGCATTCGTTTTTTTTTCTTATCACCAGCTCGTTTTAATAGTCTCTGCTTTTTCTCTCTCTTCCTTTATTTCTTTTTAATCTTAGAATTGCACATAATCCATTCCTTTTTTATCCACATTTTAATCCTCTTGATGTTAAAGTTCAAGTGTTACAGTTCTTTCACTATAAGAACATCTTCGTAATATTGTAGCGTGTTTTAAATTTACCAGCACCGATAGTGATAAAATTTGTGAAACAGCATATAAGAGATGTGTCTCATTGTGTCTCAGAAATTTCGGCTGCCTCTTCTTGATGTTAAGTATGAGTTTCCTTTTTGTTTGCATCCTCTCCAAAAGCTCATCGTTGCTCATATGTTCAGTCCATAGTATCCTGAGAACTGTAGAACCATACATCTGCTACCTCCAGTCTCTTCTAGCCTGACGTGCCTTAACCGATTGGGCCACAGAGGAGCGTTCGGTTAAGGCACGTCAGGCTATATGACGGTTCCGTATATGAAAATTTATCGGACATTCAGGCCGGTAAATGTTGTTTAATACTGTTTATCATAAACAGAGCATTTACTTAACTATTTGTATCTATAAAATGAATGTATGAATATAAAATATCTTAAAATAATTGTATATATATATATATATATATATATATATATATATATATGAATATAAAAATATCTTAAAATAATTTATATATATATATATATATATATATATATATATATATATATATATATATCTTTGAGGAGACCGTCCAACATTCGCTGTCGTAAAGGAGTTCAGATATCACGTAGCAGTTCATTACTCTTTTCTTTGTTACCAAGGAAACCCTTCTGTCTCGTAATACTCTGCCTAGCTTTTGGAATGCGTCTTTGTTCATCCCAAGTCGCCTTAGTGGCAACTTTCGTTCATTTAGACGGTTCACGATTCACGTGACGTATAATATTGGGCTGTGGACACCATTTTCCTTAAAATAATGTTCTTTTTTTTTATTTTCGCTTGTTTCTCTTTTGTCTTTCTTTCCTTCTTTTTCTTTCTTTTATTTCCACTTGTTTGATATTTTTCTTCTTTTTTTCCGTTTTTTTCTTTTATTTCCACTTGTTTCATATATCTTTCTTTTTTCTTTGTTTTATTTCTGCTAGTTTCATATTTTCCTTTCTTTTGTAGTACTTTCTTTTAATTCGGTTTCTTTCATATTTTTCTTTCTTTCTTTCTTTCTTTTTCTTTCTTTCTTTTCTTTCTTTCTTTCTTTCTTTTATCACCACTTTTCTGTTATTTTTCTTTCTTTGTTTCGTTCTTTTATTTCCGCTTTTTTCATATTTTTCTTTCTTTCTTTTATTTCCGCTTGTTTTATATTTTTCTTTCTTTTTTATTCGTTTTTGTCTGATATTTTTCTTTCTTTGTTTCGTTCGGTCTTTTATTTCTGCCTGCTTCATATTTCTTTCTTTCTTTCTTTCTTTCTTTCTTTCTTTCTTTTATTTCCACTTTTTTGATATTTTTCTTTCCTTCTTTCTTTTTTCTTTTTTATTTCCGCTTGGTTTATATTTTTCTTTCTTTTTTGTTCGTTTTTATACTTCAGCTTGTTTCATATTTTTCTTTCTTTCTTTCATTTCCACTTGTCTGGTATTCTTCTTTCTTTGTTTCTTTTTTCTTTTATTTCTGCTTGTTTCTTTTTTCTTTCTTTCTTCCTTCATTTCTTTCTTTCTTTCTTTCTTTTTTTCCGTTATTTCTTTTATTTCTGCTTATTTCATATTTTTTATTTCTTTCTTTTATTTCCACTTGTTTGATATTTTCTTTCTTTGTCTCGTTCTTTCTTTTATTTCTGCTTGTTTCATGGTGTCCATGTTTTTTATTTCCGGTTCCACTATTTTTGCTTATCACAAACTATTTTAATTCTTTCGCTTTTTCTTTTTCTTTCTTTCTTATTCTCTTTCTTTCCAATGAAGCTTATACTTATATTCACGTTTATATTTTTTTAAAGTATTCACGTTTATATTTTTTTAAAGAATACTTCTTTTTTTATTCCATTTTTCTTCTTTTCTACACTTCCCGAATGACTGATTTTTAAATTAATTTTACATTATTATTTTTTTTTTATAAAATAAAAATCTTTTTCTTTATCTTCGATCGTTCTTTTTCTTCTCTTTCAAAGAATAAAATTTCATTCTTTATTATTTTGCGAAAATTTTGTTCTTGCTCCTTTCCTTTTTCTCAAACCAACCGACATTACATAAAATCTTTTTTTATGCACATTGAAAATTCTCATTTATCAATAAATTTCAGCTATTATTAAAAATATCCTCCTTTCAGTGATATTATTGATCACAATTTTCTATTTGCAATTTTACAGAATTTTATATAATAGCTGAATGTAAGATGGTTAGGCTAGTTAATATAATGATAGAGCAACACTTTATGGATTATATAATATTGCATATAAGTTTTATAGGACAAAATTCCCAGTGAATTAATAGATAGAAAGAAGTTCAATTTGCACTAGAGCCAAAAAGATAGACACAGGTCCGTTTTACGCTAGTATGACTAATGTAGGCATAGGCCCGATTTACATTAGAAAAAAGGTGTGTTCTAGATTAAAAAAACAAAGAAAGGTCTAGTTTGCACTAAAGCCAAAAATGTAGACTTAGTGTTTCGTTCTGTCTCGTCTATTGCTTCCCACACTACTATATAAATAGTATCAACGAAAAGGACCATTTCTTTTTCTTATTCGTTTTATTATAAGAGAGTGATAGCAGCTTGGATTCTAAGAAGCAGAGAGATGAAGGACATCACAGGAACGCATGATGCACGTTGACTCACCGTCCCTCTGCGGGTGAACTTATTAGATCTCTCAACCTGAGTGTGGGAGGCTGATCGACGCTTCAGAATTCTTGCGGCCTTCTGTTGAATTGACGCAGTTGTGGACTTATATCCAAAACCCAGAAAAAGACAAAACCATCACTCACAGAATACCACGCCCACGAGGAACTCCTACCAATCATTGACCATTCTAAGCCTAGCCTTTGCATTCTGTGACAATAGGTTCGATTTATATTAGAGCCAAATAGTAGATGTGTGTCCAGTTTACGCTGCAGCCAAAAAGTTGAGAAATTAGTTGAGTTTATACTCCAGAAAGGTAGCAGGAAGTCTCATTCATTTCAAGTGAATTTTTAAAATTTCACTATTTCACTTGTGTACATCACAGCTGGCGTAATACATCGTATTATGATGTCGAAATAGACACTGAAAGTAATATCACGCCAGACCATAAAAGAAGCCGCGTTCTACAAACTGTTATTATAAACAGACCTGGGGTCATTTCCGGCCGACGAATATCTGATATCGAATATCGAATAACCTGTATCTGGTTTTACAAGCTTGGGAATGATTTGTAATAGATGTTGTTAGATCTACAACCGGTACAGGAAGATTAATGCTGTCTCAAACAGTATCACATAAATCGCAGACAGTGTATATAATGTCCACGTATTAAAGGCTATGAGGTGTCGTATCACAAACTGACAAAATAAAATTAATACAAAAGATTCAATCGAGTGATTTATTCGCCCGATTTATGCTATCATTCAACCGGAACACCCACTTCATTTTACATTCATAATACATTTTATATTTTCTACTTAATAAAATGCTGTATTTTATTATGTTTTTCTTTGAAAGTGACAATCACCGTAAAGTATTGATTCTTATATCCACATTATCAGTCTCTCTCCCTCTCCCTCTCACTCTTTCTATCTATCTATCTATATGGTCCTCAACATATTAGCCTGTTTCGGTGTTTCACAGCTAATCATTGTGGCTAGACATCCGGTTGCTTCAAGCCGAGATTGAAACCCTACCAATTTCGCATCTTTCTGAGATCCTACCCCTAAGCTATCGGTGCACTGCAGGGAGGAAGGGACATTCTAACGTACTGTATATGAATGTAAACAAACGCCAGCAACCAAAAGTGCTCAATTCATTGATGAAGAGCGGTATATGTATATATTATGAAATGGACAAAGCCCGACAATTATTTTAAGACATATTTTATGTCTATACGTTTTATTTTATAGATAAATATCTTTAAGTAAATGCTCTGTTTATAATAAACAGTATTAACGTCATTTACCGGCCTGAATGTCCGAGAAATTGTACCTATAAAAACAACGTATAAACATAAAAAACGTCTTAAAAGAATTGTCGGACTTTGTCCATTTCATAATGTGTGACATCATTTGTTTATATTTGGATACGCATGGAGCAGATATGAATGTACGAGAGAAAATCATGGAGGATTTTGTTTAAAAACAGTAAAATCGAACTCGCTAACCGAAACCCTCCTCTGTGGCTCAATCGGTAAAAGCACGTCAGGCTATATGACTGTTGCGTATAGGATACAGGTTCAAGTCCTGTCGGAGGACGCATACTTTCTATGAAAATTTCTCGAACATTCAGGCCGGTAAATGTCGTTAATACTGTTTATTATAAACAGAGCATTTACTTAAAAATTTGTATCTATAAAAAGAACGTATAAAAATATGTCTATATATATATGTATATGTTAAATGCAAAAAAGGTTTAATTTCATTTTAGTAATAATTGTGTCCATATGTAACATCATTTTTTTTATAAATACCATTTACCTTTATAATGCAAACGTCATTTTTATGAAATGAAGAAAAAATAATTCGTAAACAGAAATATTCAGAGAAATGTTCCTAACATTTTTGAGTGTAACTAGTGAATTTTATAACCACCGATCAGAATCATATATGTAGGAACAGAAAAAATGAAAGAGGAGTTGGAATAATATTAGATAAAGATAAGAAACTGTTGCTTATTGAGGTATTGGCAATTGTCAAACGGATTTCTTCTGCTGACACTGAAAGGGAAGCCGTTCATTATGATGTCAGAGACCAGAGAAGACGAAACAGATATGTTTTATAACGCAACAGAAAATATCAAATACGAGAACAAGTTAGAAGAAATTATCCTGATGGACCTAAATGTAAAATTAGGGAACAGAGCAAGATAGAGCAATTGTCGATATGGATCACGTAACAAGCATAAAAAAGCATTGTACAGTGTATAGACAATTAAGAACCAACACCCCAAATTTTAAATATCTGTTCTAACAGAGGACGGAAAGTGCGATACGGAAATACGAAGGCGAAACAGGGAAAGATGCCTTTCAAAAGTTAAGCAGAGTATTAAGAAACAGAAAAACTCCGTTAGAAGCAAAGAAAAGAGTACTGAACTGTTACGTGATATGTTCTTCTATAAGGCAGTGAATGATGGACGATCTTCTCACCAATGAACAGGCATGAAGAGACAGAAATGTTGTTCTACAGATGGATGCTGAGGATTACATGGAAACGAACATGTGAGCAATGAAGTTTTATAAAAAATAGAAATAAAAAGGAAGACAGCTAAAATTTCTAGGGAACATAATGAGGAAATAAGGCCTGGAAATTTTGATACTCACAGAACAGATTTGAGGCAAGAAGGACGAAGGAAAACAACGCATAACCTACTTGACGTGCTTGAGTAAATGGTTGGACGGACAATGATAAGGAGAGATAGCAAGAAAAGACAAAATGCATGAGGGGATGTTTTAGAGAAAATAATAAAAAAATGGTAATACTTAACATCAAGAAGAGAGAGTTGAAATTTCTAGGGCACATGATGAGAAAAGAGAGCTTGGAAAATTCGATACTTACAGGACAGACTGAAAGCAAGATGGACAGAGGAAAACAACGCATAACCTTAGTAGTGATCATGAGTAAATAGATGACGGAACAGGATTTGGGGAAAAATAAGAAAAAAACAAAAGTTATTAAGAGTTACAATGAACAGGAAATTGTGGAGAGGCATGATCGCCAACATCTTGAAGAGACACGGCAAATAAATAATAATAATAATAATAATAAGACGCTTGTAAATGGGGAAAAGTCCTGCAGATTAAAAGCTAGAAATGATTTCGAAATAATATTTGACCCTTTGAATCAATATCCAAGAGTTGACTGTGAAAGTCATCACCATGTTTTATTTATTAAATGTTCACACAAAACCTAAAACCGACTCAAAATAGAGAATTAGAAAACGAAGTTGTGTGGAAGTAAGAGAAGGTAGTAAGTGATGATTATCAGGATATATATGTGGCAACAATATTCCATTATCGGTTTGAGCTGACTATTGTTAAGCTTTGTAAAAGGGTGTTAAGAAAACTCTGAAACGATACAAGAATCTGCACACATTATCCAGCATAGTTTCCATTGATGGAAGAATTCCTGGAACACATTGGGTGGGGGGCTGCCTTCTTTCTCTTGGACTTTATCGATGTCTTGAAATCTTGATCCTTTCATGTAGTATTTGATTTGAGGACAAAGTTGCAAGGGGCGAGATCTGGGAAATATAGTGGCAATCGGAACTGGGGAATGTAGTCATTGGCCAAAAACTGCTGTACAAGCCTTGGTCACTGATGGAACTTCTGTGATGTGGTGAGACCACCACACTCTACAAACTTTTATTCCAAGCACTGGTATAAACAATGGAAGCGAGTGAAACCATTATAAGATACTGCACTGGCACGATGGATTTAAATGTCTATCTGCGCCAGGCGAGTTCACTCTGCGATTTACCATAGCAACAGTCCCGATACTTTTTGATCAGACTTCTTATGTATATATATTTTGTGTGAGTAACACAAACGCACTACACACTGATCATAGGTAAAGGTGAACAGATACTACACTTTGATCCTAGCATATAGATCTTCGGATCCCTGACAGAAGTATGTAAATCTTTGATGGGTACTATATATATATATATATATATATATATATATGTATATATATATATATATATATATATATATATATATATATATATATATATATATATATATTCATTCACAGAAAGACTGTTTCGCTGTATCACAGCTCATCAGTGTAGCTAGACATCCGAGCGCCTCAAGCCAGTATCGAAACCCGACGGATTTGGCATTTGCCGGAGATTTTTCACCTAAGCGATCGGCTCTCGTAAGAGAGGAATGTGAATTTTTACGTATATATTTTGAATAAAAATGCTAGTGATTCAGAGTGCCCGATTCATAGAAGAGCTTTGCATTATCAGCAGTAGCAGTCACTGTTGAGAAATTCGCGCTTTCTCTCTAAAGTGCTCGACCGAAATTTATTTTTTCGGAGGCGTATATATATATATATATAAATGCGTGTGTGTATGCGTTAATTAGGTCAAATATTATCTCGGTTATCTGTTTATTTGTGTCAAATGTTAAAAATTGAATAATCGATTATAATTTCGCTGATATTGTTGAAGACATGAAATCGGCGAGTCGAGTTCCAATTCCAGGTTAGCCTCCCGTGTTCACTTTCGCATAAACCCATTTGAGGAAGTTATGAATTCGCCTATTTTCCCCTCAGCTATGGGCTAAATATCAGGGTAACCTGACAAGGGTAAATCATGGCAATTCGCAGATAACAAGGAAACAAAATCTGTGGATAGTCATGATCATCTATATCCTGAGGCTTACGTACACATCACGTTGAAACACCGTTTCCAGTAAGAGCACCAAAGTTAAGCAACGTCGACCCTGGCCAGTGCCTAGATGGGTGAACGCTTGGCAATACCATCTGCTGTAAGCTTGGATGTTCGGATGGTGTAATGGATACTGGTTCGGAATTGTTAATCGGAGAACTGTGTTCCAATTCCAGTTGGGTTCGTTATATTCCCTTACGCGCAAATATCCTTGGGAAAGGTATAAATCCACCTCTTCGTCCCCCATCTATGGGTTAATTACTCAGACTTGCAGTATTAAAATATTATTATAAAAAAATTCTGACAATCTAAAAAATATTTTCTGGTTTTAAATAACCTGCTAAGCCATAGTAAGTGAATTAATCAAAACAAACCTATATTTTGAAGGGGCATAGCATTTTTCCTTAAAAAAATTATATTTATAATAATTTATTTAGGTCAAGCAGATTAATTAGGCCACGATGAAAAATTAAAGCAACTTTTTGATTGCTCATTGAAGGTTTAATTAATTAAATGTATATTTCTTTTTAGAGTATCGGTACTATTACATGTGTCATTTAGTGCATTCCAAATTTTAAACAGAAAATGAGGTGTGTTTATCCAGGAAGCAATGATACATGCCGATGGTCTTAACTTCAATTTTATGCAAAAAGATAACGAATACCGTGTTATCTCCACTCAATCTTTGACTGGATTTGGTTCGCATAGAGATAAGGACAAGGGGCACAAGTTAAATACTTTAAAAGTTAATCAGCATTTAGGATTACAGTAATTCGATATTAAAGGTATAAGATAAAAAAAATAAGAATTTAAAGAATTTGTTTTAGCTTTTGTTTAATGTTAAAACGTTCGATTTGACACCGATTAACGAAAACGTCCTCAGTTACACCCATGTTCAAATTAATTGAAACAAGACGAATAATTCCATTATAATACACTTTTTTTCATATTATTCTCATGAAACATGATCCAATGCACATTTTAGTGCTTCGTATGTCCATTCCACAAAGTCGTTGCTTGCAGATTGACCACAGATTCTCGGTTGGATTTAAATCAGGGGACAATCCGCGCCAGTTGATCGTACTTTTATTTGCTTACTGGTAAGGCTGGCCATTGTGTTCATGCAGTGTTACAATTTTCGGACGTTCATCACAGACAATGTCCGTAAGACAACTAATCGACAGTCGAGGTATCTGGGCGTGAGGAAAATC